GTGAAGCCCAGGGGGCGATTTATGGGCTTTAAGTGCATAGTACAGATACGGCAGCGTGTCTGTGTGTGTGTATCCCCGCCGATGATTCCAAAGCACGTGGTGTTCGAGAATATCTGCGACAAAGTCAAGAGGCACAACATAGGTAGGGTTGTCCAAATGAGCAGATAGATGATGAGACAGGTACCAATTTTTACAACTGATTGCTAAGTTATGTGAGGTATTGTCGACAGGAACAATAGCAAAGTGTTGTTGAAGGTGTCTCAAAGCCCTGTGCAGTGAGTGAAGGGAGTGTAGTTGTCGTGTAGTAGTGTGGGGGGATGAGATGTTGCTTTGGCAACGTGTGAGAACGACGGAGCGCCATTGCTGCCATTTGTTCAGAGCGACCGGTCGAAGCTGCTCGGAGACCGACCTCAGGTATTTAGCAATATACTCGTCAAGGCCGACTCTAACAGCCTGAAGCACATCAGTGATTTGTCCATTAAGACAATACTTCGAGCCTTCATGGAACAAGTCACGGAGGCGATCATCAGGAATGATGTCGCAATCGGCTGTAACAACATGGTCGTCGACTAAGTGTGAGCAATCAGGAAACACTTTCCGACATTGACAGTCAGAGGGGTCAGGCAGAGAGATCCCAGGTGTCATGCTGAGCGCAACTTCCGTGAAATTAGAGAATTGGACGCGAGTTGGCGACAACAACTTATTACAGATCCACAGGTGTGCTGCGGCATCAGGGTCAGGGTGCAAGTGGAGCACCTGGGCTACATGAAGGGCTTGTCGCAGACCCGTTACCTGAGACACCTTGTGCATGTGCACAACTTTAATATGATCAAGGAAGGCATCTCGAGACTGGGTTGTGTATCGTTGACGGACATCTTGATACTTCCGAATCAGGCATTCAAGCTGCCGGATATGCGCAGTCATATCTGCATTGGAGATATTATTGCTCAACCACTGCAGCAAGCGGGCATGCCAAACTGACGTTGCTCGCTGGATGACAGATTCCATCTGTTGCGAATTGGCAACAGCAGCCTGTGAGAGAAGATTGTGCAATGCAGACCGAACTTGAAAGTCGAGGCCTGGACGCAAATCAATGGGCTGGGGTTGTTGATGGTCTGATGGACGAGGGCCTGTCTGTGTCCATCGTTGATGACGACGTTGTCGTCTTCTTGTAGGCAGGCGAGCAAGCGGTAGGACAACGTTGAGACCAACTGGATGAAGAGTTGGCAACCGGCGTACCCAATAGGCTTCCCGTGTCGTAGTTGCCCGTCGAAAAAGGTTACGGTGAACAAGACTCTGCGGTGTATGGTAAAGGGCAGGGTCAATACGTTCCAAGGGCCAGACTGCAAAATTGAAGGGGTCTTGACAAGACATGACACTGTAGAGGCGGCGACGCCGGAACTCCACAGCAGAACGACGAACATGTCAATGATCCTGCAAACGTTAATGCGAAGAGCGCATAGTCTGGCCTATGTAAAGGCGCCTAGAGGGGATATGAACGATGGCATCGATCACTCCTCGGACACAGAGAGGGTTCATACCTGATTGCAATGCCTGCTGATCAATGTCTCTCAACTGCAATTCAAAACGCTCTGTTTAAATAGCCGTGTTAAGTGGTGGCAACTGTCTCTTACGCCAAGTACCTGCAGGCTAGAGGTCAGTATTCCAGCGAAGGTGTCGAATCCGATCAACTCGACGTGTGGAATCAGCGTGTAGATGAGGCTGGGAGAAAAAAGCAGAGAAGAGTCGATGATTATTATTAGAAACTATACCTAAAGTAATGTCAACAGGAAATCTCCCAAGAATTCTCTGATCCACCGTGTCTATATATATATATGTATATATATATATATAGAGAGAGAGAGAGAGTGGGAGAGAGACAGAGAGAGAGAGATAGAGAGAGAGAGAAAGAGACGCTTCACAACCACGTGACCTTATGCACTGCAATGTACACATTGTGTCATAAACGTCACGTGGTTATGGATGTTTGTTTGTGTGTGTGTGTGTGTGTGTGTGTGTGTGTGTGTGTGTGTGTGT